ATGCTTGTGTGTGCATTTATGTATTTATACAAAAGTTAATGTGTAACATATATATATGTAAATATGTACATATATATTATGACTGTAAATGTAAACTCGTAAATGAATATATATATATATATATGTGTATATATAAATACATATGCATGCATAAATATATGTACATATATACATATATGCACACATACATATATGCACACATACATATATATGCACACATACATATATATCCAATCATACATATATATATCCAAACATACATATATATATCCAAACATGCATATATATCCAAACATTTATACATATACACAAATATATGTGAGTGTGTATGTGTATAAATATGTATATATAGAGATAAAGATATCTTTTTGCTATACAATCTGCCTAGCTTACCATATCTAAATACATATGTACATGTGAATATTTTGCCAAGGTTATAAGCCCTTCCAAGCAGTATGTCAAGAGCTGGGGTCTGTGGCGAGGCTCTGTAAACCGGCGACTCGGTAGCTTGGACTATAGGATGGCTTGCGGTAGGGATCACTGCTGCGTGATCACCCACGTTGATTGGGTGTCCGCACTAAGCTTGGCATCAATATGGCCACCCTTGGGGAGCCAAGGGCGTCCAGGTTGACTAAGGAGGTGTGAACCGGGCCAGGGGGGAAACCCAGCAGCCAAAAGCACCCGTGTCGAGCAGTAGTGGGATCACGCCCGAGAGTGTGTGGCTCGTAGTAGCCTTACCAACACAGGCAGACTTAGTTCTTTTATTTATTAAAATTACCTTGTATAAAGTTTATGTAGTGACGTAAATATATATAACACTTCTACAATAGGACCATTATATAATCTGATACATTAAGCAGTAAGGAAGAAAACGCAGATATATGTAACGAAATTTGTTTTTCAGGTCTAAAGAGAAGTAACATATATGATCAAGGATTTTTTATGTAGGTCTATATCACTGGGCAGTACGTAACATATTAAGCAATGGTGTCATTGGAGTAAAGAATTTCTTTAAGTCATCAAAATGAATTTTAAAAGCTCCTGATTTTTTTCACACTGTTGTACTTGCTTCGGCAGTACATATACTAAAATTGGAACGATACAGAGAAGATTAGCATGGCCCCTGCGCAAGGATGACACGCAAAATCGTGAAGCGTTCCACATTTTTAATCGCATATATGTCAGTGCCTTTGCTTCAAAATTATAGCCTAGTTGAGAAAGTATATAGCGTGTTATTACCCATTATGCCTTCTCTGGAGCGAGGTATGTAGGTGGCGAGCGTTCGCGCCCCGGCATTCAAGGCGACCGATGCTTACCAAGATGTATATATTTGTATGCTACGTATCATATGTCTTAACAGGCGTAAAAGTTTAAGGGCTTAATCAGTTTATCAAGCATAACTTCAATGGAGTGGAACTAAATCCCTGTAAAAAACATTTTTCACTTTTAGTGAACATAGGCTACACCGGAAAGTATTGTGGTTCGAATCCTTCATCCTTCACCGTTGCGATTCAATACCGTTAATACGTTTCCACTTATCTAAAATGTTACTTACATATATATATCCAAACATACATATATATATCCAAACATGCATATATATCCAAACATGCATATATATCCAAACATGCATATATATCCAAACATGCATATATATCCAAACATGCATATATATCCAAACATACATATATATATCCAAACATGCATATATATCCAAACATGCATATATATCCAAACATGCATATATATCCAAACATACATATATATATCCAAACATGCATATATATCCAAACATGCATATATATCCAAACATGCATATATATCCAAACATGCATATATATCCAAACATGCATATATATCCAAACATGCATATATATCCAAACATGCATATATATCCAAACATGCATATATATCCAAACATGCATATATATCCAAACATGCATATATATCCAAACATGCATATATATCCAAACATGCATATATATCCAAACATGCATATATATCCAAACATGCATATATATCCAAACATGCATATATATCCAAACATGCATATATATCCAAACATGCATATATATCCAAACATGCATATATATCCAAACATGCATATATATCCAAACATGCATATATATCCAAACATGCATATATATCCAAACATGCATATATATCCAAACATGCATATATATCCAAACATGCATATATATCCAAACATGCATATATATCCAAACATGCATATATATCCAAACATACATATATATATCCAAACATACATATATATATCCAAACATGCATATATATCCAAACATACATATATATATCCAAACATGCATATATATCCAAACATACATATATATATCCAAACATGCATATATATCCAAACATGCATATATATCCAAACATACATATATATATCCAAACATGCATATATATCCAAACATACATATATATATCCAAACATACATATATATATCCAAACATACATATATATATCCAAACATGCATATATATCCAAACATGCATATATATCCAAACATGCATATATATCCAAACATGCATATATATCCAAACATGCATATATATCCAAACATACATATATATATCCAAACATACATATATATATCCAAACATGCATATATATCCAAACATGCATATATATCCAAACATGCATATATATCCAAACATGCATATATATCCAAACATACATATATATATCCAAACATGCATATATATCCAAACATGCATATATATCCAAACATGCATATATATCCAAACATGCATATATATCCAAACATGCATATATATCCAAACATGCATATATATCCAAACATGCATATATATCCAAACATGCATATATATCCAAACATGCATATATATCCAAACATGCATATATATCCAAACATACATATATATATCCAAACATGCATATATATCCAAACATGCATATATATCCAAACATGCATATATATCCAAACATACATATATATATCCAAACATGCATATATATCCAAACATGCATATATATCCAAACATGCATATATATCCAAACATGCATATATATCCAAACATGCATATATATCCAAACATGCATATATATCCAAACATGCATATATATCCAAACATGCATATATATCCAAACATGCATATATATCCAAACATGCATATATATCCAAACATACATATATATATCCAAACATACATATATATATCCAAACATGCATATATATCCAAACATGCATATATATCCAAACATGCATATATATCCAAACATGCATATATATCCAAACATGCATATATATCCAAACATGCATATATATCCAAACATACATATATATATCCAAACATGCATATATATCCAAACATGCATATATATCCAAACATGCATATATATCCAAACATGCATATATATCCAAACATGCATATATATCCAAACATGCATATATATCCAAACATGCATATATATCCAAACATGCATATATATCCAAACATGCATATATATCCAAACATACATATATATATCCAAACATGCATATATATCCAAACATGCATATATATCCAAACATGCATATATATCCAAACATGCATATATATCCAAACATGCATATATATCCAAACATACATATATATATCCAAACATGCATATATATCCAAACATGCATATATATCCAAACATGCATATATATCCAAACATGCATATATATCCAAACATGCATATATATCCAAACATGCATATATATCCAAACATGCATATATATCCAAACATGCATATATATCCAAACATACATATATATATCCAAACATGCATATATATCCAAACATGCATATATATCCAAACATGCATATATATCCAAACATGCATATATATCCAAACATACATATATATATCCAAACATGCATATATATCCAAACATGCATATATATCCAAACATACATATATATATCCAAACATGCATATATATCCAAACATGCATATATATCCAAACATGCATATATATCCAAACATGCATATATATCCAAACATGCATATATATCCAAACATGCATATATATCCAAACATGCATATATATCCAAACATGCATATATATCCAAACATACATATATATCCAATCATACATATATATATCCAAACATGCATATATATCCAAACATGCATATATATCCAAACATACATATATATATCCAAACATGCATATATATCCAAACATGCATATATATCCAAACATGCATATATATCCAAACATGCATATATATCCAAACATACATATATATATCCAAACATGCATATATATCCAAACATACATATATATATCCAAACATGCATATATATCCAAACATGCATATATATCCAAACATGCATATATATCCAAACATGCATATATATCCAAACATGCATATATATCCAAACATGCATATATATCCAAACATGCATATATATCCAAACATGCATATATATCCAAACATGCATATATATCCAAACATGCATATATATCCAAACATGCATATATATCCAAACATGCATATATATCCAAACATGCATATATATCCAAACATGCATATATATCCAAACATGCATATATATCCAAACATGCATATATATCCAAACATACATATATATATCCAAACATGCATATATATCCAAACATGCATATATATCCAAACATGCATATATATCCAAACATACATATATATATCCAAACATGCATATATATCCAAACATACATATCAATGTTAATTAGTGTGCACACATCATTACGAATTATTACACAAAATATGTATATGGAATGCCAAGTGCTAATGATTCAAGCAAACACGCAATATACAATACGAGTACAGTAAATCGTCATTGGAACATACTATAATTACAAACTTTGTACTTCACTTCCATCAGTATCATTACGTTCGATTAACTAGTAGTGATCCCTTTGAATAAAGGTGTATTCTATAACTTTCACTGAAGGTTGTGGTTGTCCTGAGGAAGCACATTCCGCTATACCAAGTAGACGACTGTGTTGTACGAAAGGAGAGAAAGTTAGCACTCCCCTTGATAAGGACGGACAACACATATACTGTCAAGGCACTGTCGCACTTGCGGCACCTGACACATTTTCTCTTGTCGCATTTGTATAGTCTTACTGGCAATGAAGTCAAGACAGAAAGATATTCACATATAATAGAAATATATGCAACATTATATAGAATATACCAAGTAGCAGGGAGGTTCGAATCCCACGTCTTTGTACTTATCAAATAGTAATATATTCCCATATATGTAGACGGATGAAGCGATGCTGTATCAAAAACTATATCTAAATCTATATATTTATTCATATGTATGTCTATGTACCTACCAACAAACGTGTCTACCTCCCTGCCTATAAATGTACCAATATACCTCTGTACATGCATACAAAGAGAGTTTTATGTGTTTGTAAGAATGATTGTTTGAAAAAATGCTACATATAACCAATCGGGGCTTATGTTATACATATAAAAACCGTATCTGTAATGTAAAACTTTTAAGTCGTTCCAAACGCTTCAATAAGAGCTGGGGCCTGTGGCGAGGCTCTGTAAACCGGCGACTCGGTAGCTTGGACTAGAGGATGGCTTGAGGTGGGGAGTACTGCTGCGGGATCACCCATGTTGATTGGGTGTCCGCACTAAGCTTGGCATCAATATGGCCACCCTTGGGGAGCCAAGGGCGTCCAGGTTGACTAAGGAGGTGTGAACCGGGCCAGGGGGGAAACCCAGCAGCCAAAAGCACCCGTGTCGAGCAGTAGTGGGATCACGCCCGAGAGTGTGTGGCTCGTAGTAGCCCTGCCAACACAGGCAGACTTAGTCCTTTTTGTTCACTTTGTACCCTTGTATTATTTTTACATGCACAACTTTGCATTACTTATCGAATTCCCTGACATGATTCCAATCTACATTAGAAAATAATTGTGTTCACGAATGAACTCTCATCGTCAGACTTATAGACAATGATCGCATATTTTGCGCTTTACATCATTTCAATTTATATTGTAGTGAATAGTTGGCCATTCTTAAGGCAGAGTACATGTCTTTTAGATTTATAAAGCGTGCAGGCTATGGCTTTAAATCAAACAATTTTCATTTCTGCGACGTTCCGCATTCCAGGGAAGGCGAAGTGGGTAGTGAGAGAAGGGTGATGGCCGATCTACCTGGTGGAAATATCTAAAGTTCGTACCTCGTACAAGAAACAAGTACCTAAGACTTTCGTTTACGCCCTAACAGAATCGAACCTGTATTCCTCTAACACTTAAAGCTGCCATAAAGATTGAAAGCCAAGGAATCCAAATACATATATATAATGCTTAGGTAATATGCACATACTAGTTCTAGAAGCAGAGCATACTTTCTAAAAAAAAAATCCAATCCCCATTGCATATCCAATCTCTTACTTCAATTATACGATGTTGATCATGTACACAGTCACTAATATATCAGTGCACAATACATTAAATATATTCCTCGACGAGTGATCTCCGTTTGACAAATAATTTGTCTTCAGTTATGGCCCTCTAGTTGTCAGATTACTACTGTTAGTCCCTTTAAAAAAAAGTTTGCCAATCATTCATTTACCTATATGTTTTGCATGTCACCTTAAGGTAATAAAATTATTAATAAGAATTACAGTTTTAACACCAGATAAAAAAATATATATATATATATGAAAATCTGCGCTGTGCTTGGATTCGAACGCTTGCCACATCCGCGTTTTGCCCGAAGTCCGAAAATGGTTCTTATACGGCTTGCACCAACTTCGCCAACCATTCATTTACCTATATGTTTTGCATGACACTTTGAGGTAATAAAATTATTAATGAGAATTAATTATAATTTTAAGACCAAATAATAAAAAATCCACATATATATATGAAAATCTGCGCTGCGCCGGATTCGAACGCTCGCCACTTCCGCGTTTTGCCCGAAGTCCGAAAATGGTTCTTATACGGCTTGCACCAACTTCGCCAACCATTCATTTACCTATATGTTTTGCATGTCACCTTAAGGTAATAAAATTATTAATAAGAATTACAGTTTTAACACCAGATAAAAAAATATATATATATATATATATGAAAATCTGCGCTGTGCTTGGATTCGAACGCTTGCCACATCCGCGTTTTGCCCGAAGTCCGAAAATGGTTCTTATACGGCTTGCACCAACTTCGCCAACCATTCATTTACCTATATGTTTTGCATGTCACCTTAAGGTAATAAAATTATTAATAAGAATTACAGTTTTAACACCAGATAAAAAAATATATATATATATATGAAAATCTGCGCTGTGCTTGGATTCGAACGCTTGCCACATCCGCGTTTTGCCCGAAGTCCGAAAATGGTTCTTATACGGCTTGCACCAACTTCGCCAACCATTCATTTACCTATATGTTTTGCATGTCACCTTAAGGTAATAAAATTATTAATAAGAATTACAGTTTTAACACCAGATAAAAAAATATATATATATATATATATATATATATATGAAAATCTGCGCTGCGCCGGATTCGAACGCTCGCCACTTCCGCGTTTTGCCCGAAGTCCGAAAATGGTTCTTATACGGCTTGCACCAACTTCGCCAACCATTCATTTACCTATATGTTTTGCATGTCACCTTAAGGTAATAAAATTATTAATAAGAATTACAGTTTTAACACCAGATAAAAAAATATATATATATATATGAAAATCTGCGCTGTGCTTGGATTCGAACGCTTGCCACATCCGCGTTTTGCCCGAAGTCCGAAAATGGTTCTTATACGGCTTGCACCAACTTCGCCAACCATTCATTTACCTATATGTTTTGCATGTCACCTTAAGGTAATAAAATTATTAATAAGAATTACAGTTTTAACACCAGATAAAAAAATATATATATATATATATATATATATATATATATATATATATATATATATTTATAAATATATATATATATATAAACATATATATATATATATATATAGATGCGTGTGTGCTTATGCACAAAACATACATACATATACATACACAAACACACACACACACATATGTATGTGATGGGACGATATTATAATTTGTAACATTGCACTAAAATATAAAAATATATATTGTAAGTATGTACGTATTTAACTTAAAAAAGGTCTGCATTATGACTATGGTAAATTTGAATATATAATTAATTTCAGACATAAAACACTCAAAAACTAATCCTTAATATATAAAACAAAAAATCGGAAACTGGAAATATTAATCACTTAAGTACATAACAGAATAAAGTGTGTCATTCCCATCATTTTTTTTTCTTACATATACTTCGATATGAATATCATTCATCTTCAAGATTATGTGTGGATCATAATACTTGTATGTTACTAGGATGTGGTTCGCGCCCTTGAAGTAGTTACTAAAGCATCTCAGTTGTACAATTTTTAAAGTGGTAGGAGAGGAACTGTGGTCAAATATATATATAAATAGCTTAACTTCTGCTAAATATAATGCTGTTTAAAGTTTGGCGTTCCATTTTCGATGTGTCAAAAAATGCCAAAATGACCGAAAATGTCAAACTTGACATAGGATACTTATAATTCTTTTTCATTGTTATTACAGTTTTAGGGTTTCATGTTAGGCTGATAGAGCAGATTACGTTTTATTTAATCACAAGTAATGTTTCAACTGCCAAATCCAATTAACATTATTCAGCTCTAGCGGACCAAATAAACATTTAAAGTACAAAATTACTTGCCTGTTAATGATCATGATTCAAAAAGAATTAATTACGAACTGAAAATATAATTGTTATTAAGGCTTGAAGACCGTTTCTTGACCGCTAATAAATTATCATATCGCATCTATAATGTGCGTAGGCAGACGCATATTTATGCAAACTCTAAGTATCATTTAAATTTCGGGAGATGAATATATATTGCAGTTTTTTTTATTTAACGAGTGATTCTGCTTGCAAAAATAACAAACAAGGGACCGAACAAAATAGCTGGGGTCTGTGGCGAGGCTCTGTAAACCGGCGACTCGGTGGCTTGGATTATAGGATGGCTTGCGGTAGGGATCACTGCTGCGGGATCACCCACGTTGATTGGGTGTCCGCACTAAGCTTGGCATCAATATGGCCACCCTTGGGGAGCTAAGGGCGACCAGGTTGTCTAAGGAGGTGTGAACCGGGCCAGGGGGGAAACCCAGCAGCCAAAAGCACCCGTGTCGAGCAGTAGTGGGATCACGCCCGAGAGTGTGTGGCTCGTAGTAGCCCTTCCAACACAGGCAGACTTAATCTTTTAATAATTTTTTATGTTATACGGAAACATCAGGTTTATTCATTAATCACGCTTTCCCGTTTATTTTCGAGACAGTCTCTGGGCTATATTACTTTAGAGTTTGTTTTCATTTTCATCGGCGTGTTTCATGCAAAGGTCTTTAATCCCGCTGACTCATTTACACCTGTAAAATTGTCAATCGTTTGGGAACTATTCTAATATTCGTACATGCATCACTCAGACGTGTGTGTGTATGTACAAAACCTAATATCTTGTTACTTTGGTTCTGAAATAACTCACACGCACGCCATCGGTCGGAACTTATCGCCAATTCACAATGATTATCAATTAAGGAGAGCGTAAATTAAGAGTTAAAATGTTGTTTGAGGTAATGCCTTAACTACGTGCGCAATATGATTTTAATTCAAAAATTTTCTTTCTCCTATAAAAGTAGTTGGGAAATGAACAAATGATAGATATCAATATAAAAAGGTGGATGCATACATACAGGAAATCACCAATATAGTGAATAAGTATTGACTGAATAATTTTTCTCCACATAAATCAAATAATTAAATAAACCAAAGATACACTTTCACACTTACAACAAAAGCGACTAGCACCATACTGTATACCTAATAGCCATAATTGATTACTTTTTCCTTAAAAAGGATACGAATACTGGATCCCATTTTCTTTGTTGGGGTCCTTTTCTCCTGTGCAAACCCCTGTATTTCGGCGCAGAAGAGACATGACGAGGCCTTGATATGCCATGCGTGTGCATGCACGTGTGTGCTAGATACAGATCTATATATATGCCGATACAGTTATAGATA